CACAGAAATGGGCGTAATACATTGTACCCATGTGGGGAATCGAACCCGGGTCTTCGGCGTGACGAGCGAACACTTTACCCACTAGGCTACCCCACCACCCCAAATTGTAATTGTAAATATCTCCTATAAAACATTTATATAAACATTGCGTTAGAATGTGAATGTTCTCATGGCGTTGGACATTCAGTTTGCGGTGCTTAATGGAGTACATGACGGGAACATGATATACTTTATATTTATTCTTTCCATGGCGAGACGGTTCCTTATAAACTAACAACAGCAGATAGAGATGGTTTCTTGACATCTGCCTTGCAAAGAAGCATTTGACGTTAATTTTTAATACGCAATTGCCTTGAGTAGGGTGAGAAAGAACAGTCCGACATCAAGTCTTTTATCATGTTTATAGAACGGCGAATTATTCATGACTTACCTGCGGAGTAATTGAAGCATACAGGTACGATTTGATTTCGTCCAATCAAGCGGGGATAAACAGTCGGATTCTCCCCAATGTTCATGAAGATTTCATTATTGTTTTTTGCTCTCTTGGCTCATTCGGGAGCGCATCAAAGGTTCCCCGCGTGTTTAATAGGGCGAATCTTGGCACAACCATACGACTTGCCTTGGTCGTTGTTTCAGTGGCTCGCGTCTAAGCGCTAACAGAAGGTACCTGTAAGACCGAAATCTTGCCATCGGGATTTTGCTACAATATTTTGGGAACAATTAGGCCTTTTATGTGTGCGCCTTTGTTTCGAAAAAAACACATGAAAGGGGGTTGATTCTGTGATTCATGTGAAGTTATAGCCATATGTTCATGCCTGTAGTTTACCCCAAGGTTACATAATTCATTGAATTTTATTCGATTGTAGTGTTTCTTTACACAAAGATAAATGTTATCTCTTATGTATGATGGTATTGTAAGTGGCCATGTGGGAATCAGTGCGAATGGTTTCCACACGATGCACACAAATTGAACTATTATTCATTTAAGAATACCATTAGAAATTAACTAAATTGTGATAAATGAATTGTATCAGTGTTGTTTTAGGTGATTAAATACTTGACAGTTTAATTAGGCATACGTCAAAGATGTTAGTGTAAATTGTGTTGATCTCTTTTGGACTGTTGGGTGTTATAACGAGGGAGGAAACAGAAAATAATCAGTCACATAATCTGAAAAAAAGTACAGTAAACTACGGTTATAACGAACTCAAAGGGACTACTAATTTTAGTTCGTTATAACCGTAGTTCGTTATAAGCATATGCACAGCATAACTACAGCAAATAGTCGGGGCCAAAAAGTAAGTTCGTTATATCGGTCAGTTCGTTATAAGCGTGTTCGTTTTAACCGTAGTCTACTGTATTACCATACGAGTTTTATCACATATATCTTCTTCTGCCCGTACATATTTTAGTTGGTTTACGGTTCCCCCATCGAATAGTGGGGGGTGAGTTGAGGGGTATATCTTTTAAGGTTGTGAAAGTTTTTTAGGCCACCGACTTAATATTTGAACACTGTCTTAAGTGCAGTTCTAATACTTGAAAATAGGGAAAGCGCAGGTATTAAACACTCTGGTATCGAATTTATTTTTTATTTCCACCTACTGAGCTGATTTATCACAAAGCCCCTAAAATGTCCTTTTTGTTGCGACCTGCCGACCAAATTATTCAGTAATAAAACCCGTAAAACAAATATATGGCCCTGCAGACTCGCTACCATACGAGGTCTTATCAAGTACTGAAATAAGCAGGCGTTTCTTTGGATTGGCTTTTAAATGTTTGCCTGTCACAATTCATAATGATCGTGTTGATATACGCGTCATCAACAGGTTGCTGAAAAACAATTTACATAATCAAGAAATCATAACTCCTCTTTTATCAACGACACTCATCAGTGTCAGTTTCTAGTTATTAAGTTAAGGTGTGTGCCGAACGGTACAAAAGGATTCCTGATTAGTTTTCGAAGCTCTCCTACTCAAGTTAGACACGTTTTTCCAATGTAACCTTTACTGCATAATGAGTTGTATTCTAGAAAACATAAACGATAATCATCTCCATTCTCATGGGGGCTCACGACAGGCAGAGTTGTCATAGGCTAATACTATGAGGTGCTATTTTTGGTGCAATATTCCTTGATTTAAGGGTTTGTCCGCTGGCAACTCGACAACAACCTGTAAAAAGTATCAAATTAATTTTCTCAGCTCTATAACGTGTGCTATTTCATCCCCAACTGCCACAAGAGAGATTTTAAGCTTAGCGTCGACTGGCGAGATGTGTTAATTATCTGGAAGTGTTTTCATAAGCCCAAAAAATCCAATCTCGTTTTCTTTTTTCGTAAGATCTACTTTAATGTGAATGTGCTAAAAAATGAAAGATATATTAATCTGATAAGCAAAACAGATGTTATCATCGTGCAGGTCTCATATCAACCAGATGCACGAGGGGCTGACTGATGCGAGCCACATGACTCTCACGTATTCGTCAGAGACACAGTCAACAATATCCAACATGGCATAAAAAGTATCAAACATTGCTTGCCAAACATGTTTATGTTGTTAATTTCAACTTTTTTCTTGAGGACGAAACGCGACTTTGTTTCCCCTTTCACAGAAGCGAGACGTTTGGAACGCCGAGTTAAAAAAATTGAATTAATTAGCATCGGTTCAAATATCACACGCTGCTCGATGCTGCAGAAAGGGAAGCGTGCTGTCAATCGTTTATTACAATAACAAGATGGGGCCTTCCAACCGCAATATTGCTTGCTTGTTTTTGGCTGTCAAATATCACACACTTTATAACAGTGGAGAAGTGCATTGGCAACTTGATGCATTGTCGCGTTAACATCGCGTTGAGAAATTGAATTTATGCGTTTAAAGCCTTGGTTAAAGGTTTTTAACTTGGATACGACTTTCGACATTTTTCTGTGTTTCCGCGTCATATATACCATGTGTATATAATAATATATACTCTACATACGGCAACTGTTAGTATTGTGCGATTTTGTGGAACAAGACGTCAAACCAAGATCTGTTTATGAACGTCGTTTTTCGTATATGATATAACGGTACAAACGGTTTTATGTAGACTTACGTTAAGTCACAAACAGAAATATAAGATATATATACAAAATAAGAAGAATAAAATCTAAATGGAGCCCAGAACAATCCTTAATTTCAGGGCTGAGATGACGCAATCTAGACTTGCCAAATCATTCTAGGCTAGAGTTGGACTCCTTTTTAATAAAATCCCCGAGGGTCTGGGAGACAGACTAGGTTTAATGTTTTACTGCTTGTAACGGGCCCCGTCACATTTCAAACGTCTCAAATTGTACATTAAACATATTCTCCATACACTTACTGTTTACTTTCAAGAATGAAAAGAATGAAAATTTAGTGTCAGATTAAATATTGAACTGTCGTGTGTCAGGTCACAGGTCGTTCTGTCCCCATGTCATAGGTCATATCCTGACATCTATCAACAGTCATTAGCGACCTTTCTTACCCTTGTGTACAAACACACACATCGAAATAGCAATTAGTGACCACTGTTTGTTTAACTGACCTACGGCTGTCGCTGGCCACTGGCCATGCCATGGCTAAGTCAGCAAAATCCGGCCGGTCGACTCAGTAAACTAAACTGTTACAAATCACACTTGTACAATAGGTTTAAGGTCAGGGGCAACAAGCTTTAATTTGCTCCGCATTGTTCAATGTTTGTTCAGTCTATGTCATAACCGAATGCAGGGTTTAAGGTTGACTTAGTGACAGTATAAACAATTGGCTAATTGGAGTAGGCACAATGAAATCACTGTGATCAGATCCGTAAGGATGCTAGATTATAATCCGACTACTGTGATTATAATCTTTTAACTTGTGTTGACACGGATTTATTTTGAATCGGCTTGAAACAACATTACATGAAAATATTTGAACCTTTCAGATTCTGGAAATATCATATTTTCTTTTTTGTTAACATGTCTAATTCATTATGTAATAAGACTATTTCAAGGAAATATGCTATATGTTGCTGTGAGTTTTATTTAACTTTTATGCTTATGACGTGTTTTAGAACACTTAATCTACAGGTTTTTGATAACTGTATGTGTACAAAAACACAAATTTGAATTATTATAACTCATATCATCTCCACGAATGCCAATAAACTACTTATATTTCCCTGACCTATTTCATAGAGTATTTCTAGTATTATGATATTCCAATACTCATTTAAAAGAATGTATTAAACTGAACAGGTATTGTAGCGAACTTTAATCACAAACTCAAAAGCCTCTAAGATCATAAGATCCATCCAGTCAACGTTGTCTACCAATTATTTGTCGCCTCATTTTGTACTAAACCCGATTTCCTCCGCTGATCTTATCGTGTGGGGACGATATACTCGACCACTGATAATAATCTAGCCACCCCACGCTCTAAATCTCTTCTGACTGAACTTAGGTATTCGTCCCAGACGACAGACAATACGTCAGGCCGAGAAGATTTCCAAATTAGGGCGTATTCATTCAATCTTTGCCAGAGATGATGTCGCCTGTCGCTGTATGGGGCAGTCGCTACCTGCGGGGATAAAACAAGAGCTATATTTTGCTTTTAAACATGTAGGTTGTCTATGATACTTTTAACATGCTACAGGTGGGAGACGAAATTGACGCCGGTAGCCGTGGTATAGTTACTCTAAGCAAAGAAGGCGGGGAGATGACGGTTGAATTGCAATTAATGTGTCCGTTCTAGCGTGGTCGGGCGGTACGAACGAATAGCAGTCGTTCGTTGGTTGAAGCGACGGTGTAATTGACAGTTGGTGCGCATGCGTGGTAGGGATTTTCACACGGAGGGGAGTAGTGTCAACACTCGGGGAGGCTTTTGTAGCAGACGCTCATTGAAAGCAAACTGCGTCATGGGGTAGAGAAGCTGTGGCGAGCTCGATAACAAATGACATTCACACGTTCACAGTGGGACTGACTTTGTTTTTCTAATGTATCTTTTCAGATAACGGATTGGAAGAAGATGATGGGAGTATATATGGAGTAAGGAATGTTGCAAGTCAGTGAGTGAACAGACGCTGATCAGGTGAATCGCGACATCTACCTGGAGCAGACGACAGTGAGAGTCCACCACACCGGTCAGCGTGTTGTGTAGTGGACAGTGTGTTGGAGTATCGGGATGTTGTGATCACGGCTTGGGTGTGAGTTGCGACTTCGCTGAGTGAACAGATCTCCTGCTGACAAGCCCAGCGATAACAATACAGCAAATTAGTTCAAACTGTCGAACGTGGATAAGGATGTGATAAACTGTCAACCTTTGTCACTGAGTGGACCAAATCAGACCTGGACACTGATATAAACCATCCCGCCTAGATGCCTTCATACATCAGTGTTGTACTTTGAGACGCACGTGAACAGTCGAGCAGACGACACTTCAACTGTCAAAGATAACAGTGAGTTTATTGAGTATTTATATCAATTTGTCAGTGAATTTACCCCACACAAGATCACGCGCTGATACAGAACAGGGAAGCAGACGACAGTTGATTTCCGCAACAGACGAGATTGGAATAGCCTGACAACGTCCTTCGTTATGATGGAGTCTCAGTGACAGTTACGTGATGGAGTGTGCTTGTACCGGACAAAATTCCTAAAATCGTATTCGAGTGAAAGAGGAGTGTTTCGCATCCTTGTGATCTGAACTAACTGTCATTTGCGGAATCTCGAGTTCCGCTCTCTACTTTGTGGTTTAGTGGATAATGAGGTTTGTGGTCATCGTCATGACAGGAATCGGATTCACCTTCGGCGTCATCATCGGCCTTTTCGTCCAGCTCCCGGTGGACACTCTACCTGCCGACAACAACTTCGTCGGTTCAAATGGTATCCTTCGACACCGGAGAAGCCTCCATGGACTCGAATCACCCCAAGGCCAATATACCGTGTCCAGTGATACCAACGCAGACAATGAGAGGACTTTATCGAAACCAATTCCCATCCGTTCGCCTGATCAGGAAATCGGACTGGGTAGCTTTGTGCACAATGCAAATAATATTGGAAGAAAAGACTCAGTTTTCTTTGATGTGAATGGAAAGCAACCAAGCAGAAATTCGGATCAGGTGCAATCGAACTTCGGGCAAAGTAAACAGGATAGCAATTCATTACATTCCGAGGGGGGAAGATCGCCTCGTGGAAGGGTGGATACGGACGCTTCCTTAGCCAAGAGTCAGGGGTCTGTGTCGCTAAGAGTGAAGGTCAAGTCGAATTCAAAAGTTGCAGCAGCTTCTGAGGACAATTCAAAAGCTAAGACCACGGGTGGGAGTGATCAAGTGCTAGGTTCAGCCCCGATGACATCAGGCATTCACTGGGCGCGAGATCTAGAGAGTCAGTGTCCAAAGGGATTTACCAAGACTGATACTGATGCATGGCGGATTAAGTCGACATCGGCTGCCATTGTCAAAATGGAGGAGGGTTGCGGACGTATGCAGAACCGCCTAGTGACGTTTGATGACGCTTCTAAAGCGTGTGTGAGATACAGACTCAACACTGACCAGATACAAGGAGAGATATACTCCTACTACCTTGCCAAGCTTCTAAATATGACCAACTTGCCCCCATCCTCCCTCCACAGAGTGGACAGAGTGAGTGACCAGTGGAAGGCCGTCCATCTGGACATTTCCGACTCTCAGTGGGCCGACGGCAAGGTGGTCATCCTCACCGAATGGGTTGACAATCTAAACCCCGCTTACATTCCCGAATCCCTCAAAGAGAATTCCAGGAAAGTTCATCCCACTGATGATATGTGGAGAGGTAAACCCATCAGCCATGTGTGTGATTTAATGCAGTGGTCAGATTTGATTGTGTTTGACTATCTGACCGCTAATCTTGACCGTATGGTCAACAATATGTTCAATCGCCAGTGGAATGAGCAGATGATGAACAATCCCGCTCACAACCTGGAAAGGGCTCCGTCCGGAAACCTTCTCTTCCTGGACAACGAGTCCGGACTTTTCCATGGATACCGTTTACTGGACAAATACACGGGGTACCACTCCGCACTGTTGAAATCTTTATGTGTGTATAAACAAAGTACTGCGGAGGCGGTGAAAAAGTTATATAAAAATGACAATATAGGACAGGAGCTCCATAGACTCTTCTCAGAAGAGGAGACATTGCATTCGTCCTTACCGTATATCCCACAGAAAAATATCAAAATATTGAAAGAACGTTTAAAAGACGTTTACAACCAAATTAGTCAATGCGAGCTGCAATATGGCAGCTAACCATTGTGATAATTATGTTTAGCCTCTCATACACGACTGGGGGTACACAAAATACGAATCCCTGTTAGTTTGCTAAAATACTGATAGTATTAACACTATAAGGGACTAAAGTATGCCAGTATTAACCTTCTTTGCGTGTTGGAAAACAGTTCTATCCTCTTAAAATGAAAGTGCAACTTAAGTGAAGTACGTGCTATATAGTTTAAGTGCTATAGTAGCCCCAGTCGTGTGTGGGGGTCAATGTTATGATGACGACCCTACTGTCAGCCGGGGGTGAGGCGACAGGGTGAGGCAAGGTAGGAAGTTTAAACCTGGAGGTGAGGCGAACACAATTGATAAACATGACTGAAAAAATGTTTTACAAAAATTGGACAATATTTCGTATTCTCATTGTTTTGTGTATAAATCAACGCTTCGATACGAAACAACATCACAAATGTATGTATATATCAAGCATTTTATTATTGACTGAAATTTCAAATATTTAATCGGGTAAGAGATATCTAGCATTCTAGAGATACGGTATCTCTAGCGTGTATCAGCGAGATACTAGATATAGGTGATTCATATAGCCGTCCCTTGTGGCTATCAGCATGTTTTGTCTCATCTTCAGGTTATAAGCTAGACGGTAACGGGGATACAAGGCCTGTTGTGATGATAACAAGTGATATCAAATTTTAGCAGAGTGCAGTGATATCCCAGTTACAGTCCTACTGTAACTGCAACATGTTTAACTAAATACTCACTCGCCAGAGGCTCCAAGGTCGTTTTAACGACTAAAATATGTTCCGAAGTCTGTTTAGTCATATTAAAAACCTATTAACCTTTTTTTCTGACTTGAAGTCATATTGTATATTAATAACTTTCATTTAAACAACTCTAATTATGTTTAATAATCTTCGGATTTTCACAGATAAGATATATACGAATAGTGATTATATTTCAAATTCAAGTCATGTAAATTTAATGTTTCCAAATTTAGTACCCAAAATTTCAATGTTAATTTCATCACCTTATTTTGCTTTTTGAATATACGCTAACATTGAAAAATAATGTATTTCATTTGACTTGATTGTATATCATCGATGTCATGTTGAATCGTCACTAATTAATACAATTCTAATTGCATGCTAATTACGAATGGTCTCTAATTAGCCTTGTCTGGTCTCCTGTGCAGCATTAGCGCGCCACACCTGCTTGTTGTATGGGTCGTGATCCTTAAGTCTGTGATTGTACAAATACGGGAATTGCATTCCAAATGTCTCTTTCATTCCAGTCATTGTATATAGCATGTCATAATGTCTCCAAGAGAATTGTATATATGTATATCTTCATGGGTACTACGTACTTGATGACAATCAGATTTATGTGAAGAAAATTCCTTCACGCCTCCTGCAAATGATGAAAGTCATAAAATAAATTATTTTTAAATATTTACATCTTTGTTCGTGTCTTTTTCCTGCTGACGTTGATTGATTGTCATGCTTGATACGAAATCAAACTGCGAACCAGTAACAAGCTGCAATTTATCAAATGCATTAGTTTTTTACATCATTACTCTCTTAATCCATCATTATGTATCCAATTGGCAGTGAATCACACACGGTATGGTTTGTAGGTCACGGTGCTTTGTTTTACATCTGAAAACATCCACCATATTCTTATAAAACAGTCCTTGCCGTAAATGGCGACTATGCTTGTTGCAAGAGGCGACTAACGAATCGGGTGGTCAGACTCGCTGACTTGGTTGATGCATGTCATCGACCCCAATTGTGTGGATCGATGCTCATAATATCAAACACTGGATTGTCTGGTCCAGACTGGATTATTTACAGACCGCCCTCATATAGTTGGAATATTGCGGAGTGCGGCGACAAAAAAAACCCCAACAAATATTAAACAGTTCAGATAGATACCACACTTGCATATAACGAAACGTTGGATATGTCGAAGTCATGTGGGATTTCCAGAACGTGTAATTAAGCTACTGTACATGCGTGCAATTAAGCTACTGTTCACGAGGGAGGTGAATGTGGTGAAATCAACATTTGTGTTGCATAAATGGGGTGTAAGTATATACAGACTTTTTGTTGATGCATGTCATCATATCTCAAATGCGTAGATCGATGCTCATGAGGCCAATCACAGGGTCGTCTGGTCCAGACTCGATTATTTTTAAGCCACCGTCATATATCTGGACTATTGCTGAGTGCGGCGTTAAACAACACGCGATCAAATGCAGAAGAAGGAAGGATTTGTTTTTGTGTCACACACTGTATAATGTCAGTGATATTAGTAATATAGCAGCATAAAAAACTAGGCCCCGGGAAGCAGTACTCGAAACTACATTTTCGAAAATATTTGTAAAACTGCATTAAATAAATATCTTCAACTACATCACTATTAGCAGTAGCTTCGAACACAAACGAGCTCGTTGAGACTAGACATTATACACGTTTCAAGCTGGGAAGGCGCAGAATCGAATAATTCCACTGAAGGAAGCCCCACTCCCCCCATCCACTTACCCCCAGGTGTGTCGTGAAAGCAAGGTTGAACCCGTGCAGATATTTGAAAAGTAACAAACATTTGATAGCAGCGGTTAACCAGAAAGGCCGCATTCCTCCAACCCGAGAGGGAAGAAGGACGCTAAACGCTCTTAGATAACTCGAAAGAGGAATCTCCATGTAATTTGAACAGTGCGTACTTTCAAGATTTGTTGTTTCTAGATGACGTTTTAGTCTACCAGCTTGTTCTTGAAGCTGAAAAACACATTATCTTGAAATGTGATATGTTCGTTCTGTCGAATTAATTTTCATGAAACACCGGCAGAATAGATATGAAACATAGGAATTGAAATACCAGCACGTATGTGACACTTGAAACAGTTGAATTTCTTTTAATTTCTCCGATTCGTAATATTAAACGTTGGGAAAATATCAAAGTGAAAGTGACTAAAAATAAAGTTTGAAAAGCAGAAACTTTACAGTCTTTGATTAGATATTTAATTTGATATATTTAATTTTGTTTTACGTGGATAACCTTTGCAATTAACACAAGACGCACGATCAATACCTACACATGTGAACACGAGTGTAATATTTACCTAAATGGCTATTGTTCAATATGTCTTCAAATTTGCACGGCCTCGAACATGTACATTTCAGTCTGCAGATGTCTATTTCACTCCGGCTGGGAGATATTCTCGTTGACAGCTATGTCAAAACAAACACACTGGACCGAAATAAATACAGGTATGTTTCACTCGCATCACAGCCTACATGAAAACTTCGATTTTTCTAAATCTCAGCCTCATCCCAGTCGGATGTGTTAGGAGATGGTGTTACAGTCAACTCTGTGTTTGTCAATTGCACTTGGGTCGCTATTAAAACCCTGAAGATTTCAATCAATTATTCCGTGGAATATGATTATGTGACAAGTCATCTTATTCGTGCATGTACGTACGTCATGCAGTTCTATCGAGTTTATCCTATTGTTTGTATTGTTAGAATATTTAATTTTGAAAGCGTCGCTATATGGCTGAAATATTGCCGATGCGACGTTAATTTTTAACTCACTCACTCACTAATTTTGAAAGCAAGAGTGCCGAATAATCTGACAACCTACTCGGATAGCGTTATTTCTGTTAAGGACATATTTTGAGTTTGGAGGTGTCTTTCTCCAAATCAATAGTGTACAATGATTTGTTTGTTGTGTAACGAATTGTTTGATAGGGGTTACTTAGAAGATGACGGATGACAAAGTACACAGAATTTATGGATACCAACTTCTTTAATACCGTAAAGGCGACGTTTAGGTATAGATCCTTATACCGTTGTCAAGCAAGACTGAATGAGGAACATAGTACAGACCACATGAGGAAGGGGAGGTGGTTGCTGGTTAGAATGTGTTTCTTCTCCACTCGGGTAAGGCTGTTGATGGTGTTGATTGCCACGTCTCGATGTAGACGCCGGGTATGCCAGTCGGCATTATTCCAGCTATATAGTTGCGGCTTGTATATAATCGAGTATGGACGAGACTAGTGAATGATATTATGAACATACGTCTGGTACGGTGATACACACTCTGCCACTTCACCGAGTCTTTCCATCTAGGGGGCACGGGTGGTCCAGTCGTCTAAGGCGCCGCGATTCGCTGTGCAGAGTTGCGTCCCTTGGGCGCGCCAGAAACCTATGATTGTGGGTTCGAATCCCGGTTCGCCCCAATTATGTTTCTAGGTTTGTCAGCACCATACCCGTGCTCGTGGGTTTCACCGAATTGGTAAACGTCTGAGACCTGCATCACTTCGGGCTTTCCTCCCACATCAAGCTGACACGCCGTGATATAACTGGAATACTGTTAAAAGCGGCGTTAAACCCAACTCACTCACTCACTCACTTTCCATCCAATCTCTTCGGCCCCGAATAGCTGCAAGATTGCTGATATTCTTTGAGCAATAATCACTCACTCAATCACTCTTACAACAAGCACAGGCTACTCGGGATCTGCTCTAACACGACACCTTTACGTTTGTTTATTTGTTTGTTTGCTTGTTGTTTAACATGGCTCTCAGCAATATTCCAGCTGTATGGAGGCAGTCTGTAAATAAACGAGTCTGGACCAGTCAACCGGTGATTGATATTATGAGCACCGAGCCACGACATTTGGCGACTATGCTTGTCATAAGAGGCGACCAATGGGATCAGGTGGTAAGGCTCGCTGACTTAGTTGATGCGTGTCATCGAATCCCAATTGCGTAGATCGATTGTCGAATCCGAATTGCGTAGATCGATTGTCTGGGTCTTATTTGTTACGAGCGAACTCACCATTAATGCCACAATTAACCCGCTAGGGGTGAGGTGAAATGGGGTTTAACGTCGGGTTCAAGATTATTGCACTTATATAGCAACGTGTGTGTGTGTGTGTGTGTGTGTGTGTGTGTGTGTGAGAGAGAGAGAGAGAGAGAGAGAGGGGGGGGGGGGGAGAGAGATGCACGTCTCTTCGCTTTGATCGCTTTATGGGGGACATGTTGATATAAGGTTTTATCTGTGCCATACAGTTCACAATTTACAATTTTCTGAAAAGTGGTACCATACAAATGTGGATTACGACTAAATATAATCATTGGTTAACAGGATATAATTTGAAACCACATGACTTAGTTTTGAATATCAGCTTTACCACCAAGCGCCTGTTTCGCAAGGGGGCGACAACCTAGCTCTATTTGACATTTTCGTCACTGCTGGATTTCAGATACCAACATCATGTCAACCTCAGCAAGATTGATTCATTCTTATCTCATTCCAAAATGTCTCCCCATTGTCTACCTATTGTCTGTGACAATATCCTTGAACATGAAATACATAGTAGCCTTATATTCCTAGAGATAAATGGTGCACAGGGCTATCATAACTGTCACGTCTATCAAGTACGCGAACAAGCCTAATGACAGACAGCCTCGTTGTCAAATCTACCCCCTACGCTGTTCTGTCAAATATATCCTGGCAAAATCCTCCGTTATCTACGAGTGCTCTAATGTTGTCTTTGCCTCTGACATCACACGGCGGGACATAGCACGAGCTTCCCAAGTTACCCGCGTGAAAGGTCGGGTCACGTGGATGACGCTGCTTGGAGTTTTGGTGATGCATGTGGAATCACTATTGCTATGTGTTCTGTAAACTCCATGCAACTGTACACTGTTTTCTTTGCATCTGATTTCGGCGGGATACCACATTATCGCGCAATGCTGCGAACGACACCGACTTGTTATCATTGTTAGAATAGAGTTTAGAAACGCTGCAAGGAGCTTGAGCATTGCACGTGAATCACCGTGCGATGTGCGCCCGTGAATTCCGTGCAGTCTCAACCGATGACAACTATCATGGTTTCTTCACGTTGAGTTATTTCAACGTGGTTGTCAATTTCACAATTTGATTGATGGGTCAATTTGATACAAACGCGTTTCAATCTATTTCAAAACCGTTTCCTTAAACGTATTCATCATCGAGAAATGACGCTGTGTCACTGGAATAACAATCACGTTTTCCACTTGACGTACCACACACTCTGGGGGTAATTCCAAATATCCAGTCTTTTGTCTTTGAAAATATTGTCAGTTAGCCAAGAGACGGAGATCTAAATTGATATGAATGGCTCAATCGACGCGCCATAGCCTGATATGGCTATCGAAATATACCGAGTGATGATTGATGCATGGTTTCATTAAAATGTGTGCATTTGTGAAGTAATGATATCGATGAACAGAGCGCTACATTGATTTATTGTCAAATAAGATCCTACCTCGAAAGCACGTTCTTATATATGTCCAAAACAGGAAATATTTATTTTCATTTGACATATTTAATACAGGACAACGACTACGGAGGTAAATAGGACCTACGATAACTGAGCCATTTGTTTATCCATAAAGAAAAATAAAC